GAGCAGATCAACACTGCCACCCAACTTGGTGTCGTCTGCAAACTTACTGAGGGTGCACTCGATCCCCTCATCCAGATCATTGATAAAGATATTGAACAAGACCGGCCCCAAAACTGAGCCCTGGGGAACACCGCTCGTGACCGGCCGCCAACTGGATTGAACTCCATTCACCACAACTCTCTGGGCCCGGCCATCCAGCCAGTTTTTGACCCAGCGCAGAGTACACCTGTGTAAGCCGTGAGCCGCCAGCTTCTCTAGGAGAATGCTGTGGGAGACGGTGTCAAAGGCCTTGCTGAAGTCCAGGTAGACCACATCCACAGCCTTTCCCTTGTCCACTAGGCGGGTCACCTGGTCATAGAAGGAGATCAGCTTCAAAGCTGAGATGATTAGATTTTAGCCTTCTGACAGTGCATAGAATTGCTACCCACAAATTGGGAGATCAGGGAATGAAAAAAAAAAATGGAGGAAGCTTTATGTGAGAGGTCAGCATCATTACAAACCTGATGAACGAACAGACACTGCTTGAAAAGGCACACTGGCTACCATCTGAATACAGGAAAAATCCTTTGGCTCCAGGTTCTCAACTGGTAGCTCTCACTATTGACCTCTTTCTGGTGACAGCTCCATTTTTTCCAACAGCAAAAACAGGAAAGAATGTGCTATCTATCCAGAACACTCCCTAGCTTAGAGCTCTGTCTTGACTACTGGTCTGCAGAAGGTAGGCAAGGCCAACAATCCTAACGGTAAAAGTCTTAGGCCTTGAAAAATGCTTACAACCCACAGGTCAAAACCAACTTACTCTTTCTTGAGTCACACCAGTGACTTCAGGTCAGATACTCCACCCTCCTCCCTCCATCATCTGCCATGGTACTACCACAGCCTACATTTCCACCGCAGTGTGGCAAGCTATTACTGGTTTTACACTGGGAGTATTGTTAGTGACAACAAGACATCACGAAAATGGAAGACAAGGGCTAATAACTAACAAAATAGCTTCAGAGGACTGGGGCAGCATCACTGTCTTCTGGAATGTCTGTCATCAGTTTGGGTTGGTGGTCATGCCAAGTCTGAAAGTGATGGAGGGAAAGACAGTGAACTTCAAATTCAAATTTTCCTATACTGTGCATTTTTATTTGTACAAAGTGGATGGGCTTTAGCAGAATATGTTATACTTAACCACAGTGCTAAATACATGGTGTTCACAAATGAAAATGTCCAATCTTGTTACTGTTTTACTGTACCAGAACAGAGAAAAAGCAGCACAAAACTATATGAACAGTTTTGTGTGTGCATATATAAAATATATATTATTTTTTTGAGTTCTGTCATCCCTGAAGAAAGATTTACTATGTAACACAGTTGGAAAAACACAAAACCATTTGCTTATACAAGCTGTTCTTCAGGTCATGACACAAATGCCTC